GAGCTAAAACCAAAAGCCAAGTGAAAATATAGTCAATTTGTTCATACTTTAGTGACTGAACGACTATGAAATGTCGGTGGGACCCGTGCTGCAGGGAGACCCCAGCTGTGGGAAGGGCGGAGGGGGTGGTGCAGGGGGCGCCGGCAGGTGCTTGGGCAAAGCCCCTTCCGCACGGATCACTGGACTGGCAATTCTAACTTGGACTTGGCCAAAAAATGATCCAGCCTCCAGAAGCCAGCAGGCCCAGCAATGTCTGCTTGACCCTCAGGCCTGACACAAACGACCACGAGAAACCAAGTGTGGCCTAAAGCACACCAGTATTCTGAGATAACAGGAAGAATTGTCTCAAAGGGGGTGGACCTGGGGGAAGAGTGCCGACTCTGTCCTCTAAAGCCCTCCTCTTTCTTTTTAAGAGATAGAGTGAAAGGCGAAAGATTCATAGGACCTGAAGAGAACGACATCGCCCCATTTGTCAGGAAATGGAAAGACTTGGAAAAAACTATCTATCTATATCTATATCTATCTATATATCTATCTATTTTTTTTGCTGCTTCTGGAGCTTGAACTCAGGGCCTGGGCACTGTCCTCCAGCCTCTTGGTGCTGAAGGCCAGCGTTCTACCACTTAAGCCACAGCGTCACTTCCAGCTTTTTCTGCGTATGTGGTACTGAGAAATTGAACCCAGGGCCTCAGGCATGCAAGGCAAGCATTCTACCACTGAGCCACCTTCCCAGCCCCTGAAAAAATTATATTAAGTGAAGAAAGCCAGGCCCAAAGAAACATAGGTCCCATGGTTTCCCTTATTTGCAATAACTAGTATATGTCTGAGTCAAGCAGAAAAGGTCAGATAAGTTGATGTTAGGGGAATGAACCCCAAGATAAGTATTTAAATGTTTTTTTTCTTTCATACAATTGTTTCTAACATATTTATAAGATGATTTCTATGTTGCTTTGTATGCCCCTCCCCCACAGTATGACCCCTGCTTTCACTGTATTTGATGTTGGTATAATTTGTGGAGGGGAAGGACAAAAACAAATCATTTAACTAGGGATACAGGTGGACCCATTGCAACAATGAGATGTACAAGTTGTTATGTCAAAAAACGAACTTTACAACTTTGGTGGGGGGGAGGAAGGATGTGGTGAGGGGAGGTGGGTGGAGGATGGGAAGGGATGGGAAGGGGAAACAAAGAGGAGGCAACAATGCTTGATAAGACATGTACTCATTATCTTGCCCATGTAATTGTAATTCCTCTGTACAGTATTCTCACAATAATAAAAAAAAAAGAGATGAGTGTCAAACTCATGCTCCTCCTGAGTACTGGGATTACAGGCATGCACTTCCAGGCTAGGTTAAAAATTTTTTTTTTGTGTGTGTCAGTCGTGGGGTTTAAATGCTGGGCCTGGGTGCTGTCTGTCCCTCAGCTCTTCAGCTCAAAGTGAGCGCTCTACCACTGGAGCCACAGTGCCACTGGTGGTTTAATGGAGATAAGAGTCTTATAGACTTTCCTGCTAGGGCTGGCTTTGAACTGTGATCCTCAGATCTCAGCCTATTGAGTAGCTAGAATTACAGGTGTGAGCCACCCATGCCCAGATTCCAGCTAAAATATTTGTAAAATAGTGTGGCTGGTTTTTATAAAAGATATATGTGCTTATTGCTCACATCCAAACCTTGCCAGAAAGCTTGTGAGAGAAAGGGAGAACACCCCGCTTCACCCAGCACCACAGGATGTGGGGAGCCTCCAAACATCGGAAGTGTGACACAGACACACCAAGGTAGACGGTGCTCTGGCCAGCCGGGGTTGCACAGCCCAGGTTCTCCCGCAGCGATGTTCAGTGGAGTCCTTCACTACAGGCCCAAGTCCTGGCTTTTACTGGCCTCTGTGTCTTAGGGTGGGAAGACTGACCAGCGACCGTGTGACTTCAGAAAGGGCTCAGTAACAACAAAAGAGAGATCTGTATCCATAATCCATAATCACCCCTCTCCTCAGGTCCAGTGAGGCAGACAGTTGATCTGGGGAGAGCACGTGAACAGGGCACGCCAGCCTACCCTGGGGTGATGGGAAATAGGGGTGTCACTATGGGCATGGTCTCCATATCCCAAAAGTGGGGGTGCCAGCTAAGCTTAATGTCCCCTGACCATTTTAACATCTCACCTAGGAATGGGCTTTTTCAAACCATCCCTCCAGCGATGCGGCTGTGTGTGTGAGGGAGAGATACTTATGAATGAATGAGTGAGTGATGAATGAATGAATGATCGGCACCACCACCCACTTGGCAGCTGCCATTCATTGGTGGCTTCTTGTGGGCCAGCTGCCTGCTGAGCAGGGTACTCCCACGCCCTCTTCAAACCCTCCTAAGCTGCCCTGCCGGGGAGGAGGTGAATCACAGGACAGGCAGGAAAGGGCAGATGCCAATCTGACCCCCCTCTGGCTGACCCTGGGGGTTCACTCCCAGGCGCAGGCAAGCCCCACCCCTCCCCGCCACCACCCTGACCTGCAGCCCTCAGCACACACTGCCCACAAGAGGACTAGACTCGACACCTAGTCCACCTTCACAGCGGTGCCAGCCCCGCCTGGTGCCCATCTTGTCCACCTCAGGGGCGGGGGGGGGCGGGCTGGGGTCCTACCCCGCCCGTCATGGTGACCCGGCCCACAGGGTGGCGGCTGCCCTGCCTGCTGCTTTTCGGTGTGAAAGGTGTTTAATTATTTCTGACAGAGTTCAGCGCCGACATCTGTTCGCGAGCGGGGAGAGTCCACTTAGCATATCCATCACTGTGACATGTGCAACTTTTTTTGGAAGCCTTGTTTTTTTTTGTTTTGTTTTGTTTTTTTCTTCTCCATAATAGGGCCAGGGGCAGCACAAGACCCAGACAAAGCCCCTCCTGGGCCTTCCTGAGCTGAAGGGGAGCAGCTGCCCCACGTAGGCACTGGCTGAGCTTCTGAGTCCACCCACCCCCCTTGGCCCCCATCTGTGGTGGGAAGTGCTTAGGCATTTGGGGAGCCAAGGGGTCAGTCTGTGGCAGCCTATAAAATCTTGTGGTCATTCTGGGCAGTGCTGGCCATTCATTCATGCATTCATTCATTCCAGATGTTTAGTGACTGCCTCCTCTGAGTTAAGCACCCTGGCAGGCCTGGTCCTTGCGGGTTCACACTTCGCTGGGGACACCGGGAAGTATCCCTGATGGATGGGTTCATCACAGAATGGCTAAGCGCATGACAGGGAGAAAGGAACCCTTTGGTGCTGAGGAGGGAGGGCTCCTGGAGGGAAGGAGCTGTAGGAGACCCTGGGGTTTGGAGCCCCCAACTCCCCCTGGATCTGCTTCCCATAGGGGGTGTTCCTTCTGCTCTCCTAGCCAGGGCCCCAGTGTGCCAGCCCTTGGCCCACAGCGGGGCCTCTGCAAACTTCTCCTGTTTGGCATTCCTTCCTGACATCCCATAATGGAGTGCCCGGGAGCCCAGAGTCCCCACTGGAGCCAGGCTGGGCGGTACCCTTGCAGGACCACAGATGGGGATCCAGGGAGGAGACTGTGGGCTGCTGAGGGCTGGAGAGGACCAGGGTGGGCAGACGGGCTGATGTGTTTTTAAAAGGCAGAATGGCCGGGCGCCAGTGGCTCATGCCTGTAATCCTAGCTACTCAGGAGGCTGGTTCAAAGCCAGCCCAGGAAGACAAATTCAAGACATTCAAGAGACTCTTATCTACAAATAACCACTAAAAAGCCAGAAATGGAGCTATGGTTCAAGTAGTAAAGCTCCAGCCTTGAGATAAAAGTGAACGGACAGCACCTAGGCCCTGAGTTCAATCCCCAGGCTTACACGCAGGCACGGATGCACATATGTGTGCATATGCACACACACACACACACACACACACACACACACAGAGGCAGGCAGGAGGTTGAGCGAGCCAGAGAAATGGGAGGGAGGAGGGAGGAGGTGAGGTGCTATGAAGTGACAGCATGGCGGTGACCCCACGGCCTCCGGAACGCGCTCGCTCATGTTCTTTCCGTGACATTTGCTGTGATCGCAGAGGCAGCCGGGCTGACGGGCGGCAGGGCACATGGTCACTGACATATGCTGAGAGGCCACTTGGGCAGGAGGACATAGAGGCCACCCATGGGGGGCGGGAGGCGGGTTTCCAGCCAAGCTTGTTCAAGTGCATTAGGCTCAGGAAGGCAGTAGCCCCTTCAGTGTCTACCGTGTATTTCAATGCACACGACACAGCAGCCAGGCTGTCTTGTCTGTCTGTCTGTCTGTCTCTCTGTCTACCTCATGCAGCTGGCTTCCTGGGACCAGGCAAGTCCCTCGTGGCCTGCTACAGCGGCTCCTTCTCCCCGATTTGGGCACAGGTGGCCCCCTTCATTCTGGCGATGCTGGCTGCCTCCCACACTGCCTTCTCCCTGCTGAAAGTTGCTGACCTGCCCTGGGTGCTACAGAACAACAGAGCCAGAGGAACAGAGGCTCAGCTCCCATGCCAGAGCACGGCCCGGTCCCTCTGGTTGTATGCTATGCACATACACCAGTCACCCACAGACATTTGCTCCTCTTTCCCTAGGCCAGCACCACAAGGTGGGCACAGGGCTGTCTACATCCCTGAGTCCAGAGCCTGCAGGTGATTGATTGCATCTGTAATCCTGCATGTGACTGCATCCATAAGCCTGCATGTGATTGCATCTGTAATCCTGTCCATGCAGAAGGGAGATTGGATCCAGACAGCCTCTGCCCTGGGTGGACTGATACCCAGCTCTGAGGTGAGGTGGCTAGGATCAGCCAGTGGCCCTGCCAGTGCCCACTACTGGCCCTGTTTCCTCCTGTGCCCAATAGGCGGGTGCTGCAGCTGTGTATAAGAAGAGTCTGAGTGAAGAGGGCTCCGTGCCTGGCACCTAGGAAGCTCCCAGAAAGTGTCAGCCGTGATCACTGCCACCATTGTCTCTTTCACCCAATGGCTGGAGGACCAGCGGAACTTCCGGTGCAGGACGGCGACCGCGAAGGAGACACTGACCTTCTGGAAGTGAGGCATGTGCCAGAGGCTGTCCAGCTTCACGGGGGGCTTGTACTTCCGCAGATGGCTGCTCCGGGTGTCGTACAGCTTCCCCAGGACCACCTGTGGGCGATCACATAGGTGAGAGCCTCCCCTGGCTGTGGAAGCCCAGGCAATGAACGGGGGACCGCGGGGCCTCTTCCCTCCTGCTCCTGCTCGTTCTCGGAGGATGTTTAACAACGGTCTTCCCCTCATCTGGCCCCAGGAGGCTGCTTGTGGGCTGGGGGGTGAGGTGGGGATAGGGGTTCATAGGATTCCCTGGCCATGAGATCCTGGTTTCCGGTGTGCCCTAGGACATTTGGGGACCCTGCTTGGGGCCAAGCAGCAGCTCCCAGAGCAGGGAAGAAATCCTGTCATCCTTGAACTTCCCCTCAGAGACCAACAGAACTGAAACTCACAGGGTCTCCACCATGTTTGAGTGATGAAAATGTGGGGTTTGGGTTCCTCCCACAGCTGGCCCACAGAGGAGGCCCACCCAGGCACAGAGACGTGTGAGGTCTCTCCAGGGGGCTCACTCTACCTCATATGCTCCGTGCCCACTAACAGCTCTCTACAAGCCCATAATGCAAGTCCTAGAGCTCCCGGGGACTGCTGAAGACTGAGCTGTGGCCCTCAGATTCAGAGGGAGCAGCCTCTGCTCTCATGCGAGGATGGTGTGGCGAGGAGGCGGACAGGGTTCATTCAGGATCACTGAGGCCCCTAGAACCTGACCCCAAATGACCTTCAGAGCTAGCTGGAACAGATGTCTCAACGGCTGTGGAGCCTGAGGTGTGACAGCAGGCCGGCTGACTGAGCATGCGCGCAGGACTGCCGTCCACAGCTAAACCAACCAAAATGAGCACAAGTTCCTCCTGGTCCGGTGAGCCAGATAAACACATCACGTCACCAACTCTTTACTGATTTGTTCATCAGTTCCATCACCACCACCACCACCACCACCACCATCATCATCATCATCATCATCACCATCAACTCGGCCTGTGCTCTCATGAAGCCCCCTCCGGCTCCCTGCTCAAGGCTGGCACTCTACCACTTGAGCCATACCTCCACTTGCGGCTTTAACATTTTAATTATATTTTAAATTATCTTTAAGTAGTTGTACAAAGGAGTTACCACTCAACAAAATCAGTTTATGAAGACCATGCATCTTGATCCATGTCACCCCTTCCATTGTTCTCCCCAATGCGCCCAAGCCCCACTCTTCCCCTCCATTTCTGTAATTTCATAGGATAGGCATTGAGTTTTATGACTGCATTCTCTCCCTCTTCCTTCTGGCTCTTTGCTGGTTAATTGAAAATAAGAGTCTCATGGATTTGTCTGCCTGGCTGGCTTCTAAGCAGGATTCTCAGTTCTCGACTCCTGAGTAGCTAGGATTAGAGTGTGAGCCACTATTGACTATGCATGGGAATAATTTACAAGCCCTCTCAAACAGTATGGAAACTACCAAAGTAGAGAAACCTTCTAGCCCACAGCTGGCCAGCTGGGCTGTAGACTTGAGAGCCAGTCACACGTCCATTCCCCCTGCTGGGAAAGGGCTCCAGGCTTTTTTTTTTTTTGTTGGTTGTGGGGCTTGAACTCTGGGCCTGGGCACTGTCCCTCAGCTCTTCAGCTCAAGGCGAGCGCTCTACCACTTGAGCCACAGCACCACTTCTGGTTTTCTGGTGGTTTATGGAGATAAGAGTCTCATGGACTTTTTTGCCCAGGCTGGCTTTGAACTATGATCTACAAATCTCAGCCTCCTGAGTAGCCAGGATTATAGGCATGAACCACCGGTGCCTGGCTGGGCTCCAGGCTTTGAACAGAGTGGCCTTTGAATGGTGGTGATCACAGGAACTTCATTTGGGGTCACTGCATCTAAAATCCGGGGTACCCTGGCAGCAGTGTACAGACCTACAATAGGGACATGTTACCCCTGAGACTGGGGCAGTCCAGTCTACAAATTGACCATCTTCATAGGCCAGACACAGTAATACCTGATGGATTCCTAGCTGGACACAAGACACCACAGCGGCTAGACACAAGTGTGGAGTGTGGTGCCAGCCAGCTCGCATCTCCCCTCCGCAGCCGCCGGCCCTGGGGCTGGGGTGGTTACCTTCTGCTTCTTCTCCAGCTTGATGGCTGCCTGCGTGGCCTTCTGCTCCTGCACCCACAGTTGCTGGTAGCGATGCTGAAGCAGATCGAAGAAGGGTGTCGACGGCCTGGGGGAGGCAAGGCCAGGCAGGGTTAGAGGCCGAGAAAGGAAGGTCAGGCCTCCTCCCCGCAAGATTGTGCCAGGCTCTGGCCAGCACCCAAAATCTTGACAGAGGCAGGGCACGTGCATGAGTGGTTCAGCAAACACGTGCCTACGAGCAGAGCAGCAGAGAGCAAAGCCCCCCTGACACACCTTCCGGGAGGCTGGAACCCGGGCCGCATGCTTACTAGGCATGCGTGCTGCCCTTGAAGCACACCCCCATCCCTTTCATGGCTTAACTTACTTTTGAGAGAGGATCTCATGTTTTTTTCTTTTGGTTTTGTTTTGTTTGCATCTGCCAGGCAAAGTGATCTTTAGGAGCTAAATCCCTAACCCCGTCATGCTTTTTTGGTCCAAGGTGGGCCTCAGACCTGGATCCTACCACCTCTGCTTCCTGCCTAGCTGGGATTATAGGCAGTCACCACTCAGCCTGGCTTTTCATTGGGCCTATACACCAGTTTTTTTAAATCTTTGAAGTGACGGCCATTGGTTGAAAGTTGTGATATCTCACATTTAGAAAAATGTGAGATTTTCAAGCTGGGTGCTGGTGACTCACACCTGTCATTTTAGCTACTCAGGAAGCTGAGATCTGAGGATCACGGCTTAAAACCAGCCTGGGCAGGAAAGCTCTTGAGACTTACATCTCCAATTAACCACCAAGAAGTCAAAAGTGGAGCTGAGGCTCAAGTGGTATGGCACTAGCCTTAAACAAAAAGCTCAGGGCCAGCACCCAGGCCCTTAGCTCAGCCCAAAGCCCCAGTACCAGCACACACACACACACACACACACACACACACACACACGAAGGGCTCGTGTCTTGAAACACTCCAGTTCTGATTTTTGTGGGTCTCATGCTAGTTAGCAATAATTGGTTAGCCATGAGCCTGGGCTGACCCGGCAGTCCTCACGCCTGGTCTGGAGGAACTTGAGTTATCGGAGCAGAGGCTCCGTGGCTGTGAAATGCCCAGGTCCCCCCCTGAACAGCCAGCAGTGCATCTATAAACACTGGCTCTTTGTTTTCTGGCTCCTTTACCCCTGTGGCGACTTTTATTACTTAATTATTACAAACCCCATGCCCCTGAGCAGCCTAATTTATAGCTGTGCTTTCTAATGACACTACGAGTGTGCGTAATCTCAAAATATCTACCCCAAGAGGCCGGTCCAAGGAAGGGCTCTCCTCGCAGCAGCCTCAACTATATCCATCACCAGAACCAGCCCTTGCAGTCCTGCGGCCTGGATGACCGCCTCTGGCCAGAGGTTCTTATTATTGGGAGAGAGAGGCAGGTGGGGCTGGAGACTGGCACAGCTGCCAAGCTCTGCTCAGGTCTAAGGCACTGGCTGGTCTTACTTCCACTCTGACTTGTTAGCTTGGATACACAGGAGTGGAGGCTAGAGAGAGAGGCTGGGACATAAATCAGATTCCATCACTCCTTCCATTTCTCAGACCAAGTCCAGGAGCACCCAGCCACCTCTCCAAGACATCTGGCCCATCCTCCTGTCCTTCCTGGCCTTCCAGGCCCTGTACCTTGCCAGGGGTCCTCTCTTGCCCAACTAGCACACACTTACTTCCCCTCTGCCTTGCAGTGGGTCCTGAATCATGGAGGCCTTAGACCATACAAACCCTATATATAGATATGGAATACTCCTCAGCCATAAAAAGCAACTATTAATACATGACACAGCTCATAGGGGTCTTTAGGTTTTGTTTTTGTCAGTCATGGGACTTGAACTCTGGGCTTGGATGCTATCCCTCAGCTCAAGGCTAGCACTCTGCCACTTGAGCCACAGCACCACTTCCGGTTTTCTGGTGGTTTATTGGAGATAAGAGTCTCATGGAGGGGCTCAGTGGTAGAACACTTGCCTTGCATGCATGAGGCCCTGGGTTCGATTCCTCAGCACCACATAAACAGAAAAAAAACCAGAAGTGGCGCTGTGGCTCAAGTGGTAGAGCACTTGCCTTGAGCTGAAGAGCCCAGAGTTCAGGCCCATGACCAGACCCAAAAAAAAAAAGAAATCTCATGAACTTTCCTGCCTGGCCTGGCTTTGAACCATGATCCTTAGTCCTCAGCTTCCTGAGTAGCTAGGATTACAGGCGTGAGCCACTGGTGCCTGGCTTCTCTAGGTTTTTATGCTGAGTGAAAAAGGCTGCTTGATTTCATGTATATATCATTCTTGAAAATTTCCAGGAAGTAGGGAATGGTGTGAAGGAAGGTTGGTACAGGGTGATCTCTGTGGTGATGGAACAATTTCTTGATTATCTTACACACTTACATGTAATAAAGTTGCACAGAACTAGGTTGGGTGAGGTGACTCATGCCTGTAATCTCAGTGACCTAGGAGAAGAAGTGGGAGGATCCAGGACTGGATCCAAAAATACCTAAGGCAGAAAAGGGCTGGAAATGGGGTTAAATGGTAGAGACAGTCTGCCTACCAAGTACAAGGCCTTGAGTTCGAACTCCAGTACTGCCTCAAGAGATATTATGTAAAACATTATTTGTTTGCCAATAAATTTGAAACCTAAACAAAGTGAGTGATTATGCTAGAAAAGTCTGAAAGAGCAAAGCTGGCTAAAGTATACATAGTTTGTTTGTTTATTTGTTTGTTTGTTTTTGTCGACAAAAAAGCCCTCTGGGCCTGTATGCTGTCCCTCAGCTCAAGGTGAGCACTCTGCCACTTGAGCCACAGCACCACTTCCGGTTTTCTGGTGTCTTATTGGAGATAAGAGTCTCTTGGACTTTCCTGCCCAGGCTGGCTTTGAACCTTGATCCTCAGATCTCAACCTCCTGAGTAGCTAGGATTACATGCGTGAGCCACCAGCGCCTGGCTTTACATATATATAATTTAATATAGCTGAGGGAATCAGGCCTAGGCACTCACACATGAGTTCTCCCAACTGTGATATAGAAAACATTCAAGAACATTCTAAAACTTTTAAAACAATGTCTCCACCCCCCCTTTGTCTTTTTGCCATCTGGGACTTGCGCCCTCACTTGTTTCTTTCACTCAAGGTGGGTGTTCTACTATTGGAACCACAGCTCCACTTTGGCTTTTTTGGTGGTTAGAGATCAGAGTCTCATGGTCTTTCCTGCCCAGGCTGGCTTTGAACCTCAGTCCTCAGATCTCAGCCTCCTGAATCACTAGGATTTCAGGTGTAAGCAGCTAGGACCTGGTTACAAATCAGGTTTTAATTACAAACAGAAATAAAGAGGGTTCACACTGAGTTAACTCAAAGAGCAATGAAAGAAACAATAGAAAACCTCACCGAATCCCATGCGCTTTGTGCCAACCCACAGAGACACACCTTGGCTGGGAGAAGGCACAGAAATGGGGCTGGGGGTGGGTACAGCTCTTTCTCAGCCCCTCCCGTCGAGCAGCCAGCATGGAGTGACAAACACAAATGTGTTTCCCAATGAAGCTGGAAGTTTCCATAATTCTCCTAGCCTGGACGTATTAACCAGTGCAATGGCGTGACAAGTGCCCAGGAAAACAACTTAAAAGAAGGAAAAGGCCAGCCTGGCGCCGGTGGCTCACACCTGTAATCCTAGCTACTCGGGAGGCTGAGTTCTGAGGATTGCTGTGGGTTTCTCCCTGTTCACCTCATAGCAGCCAGGAAGGAGGGAGGGAGAGAGAAAGACAAAGACAGACAGAGAGAGAGAGAGAGAGAGAGAGAGCAGAGGTGACTATAGAAACAGGCCTTGAGTCTCTGTCCTTCCAGTCTCTGCCTCCCAGATAGCTGGGATTACAGATGTAAACTACAATGCTTGGCAGGAAAAGGCAGGAAGCATCTTTAGGATTCACTCTTCTTATTTTCTTCCATATTTATCTTTTGCTTCTATGTTATATGTTCAGTTTTTGGTTTTAGTTTTGTCGATTGTGGGGCTTAAACTCTGGGCCTGTGCACTGTCCCTCAGCTCTTCAGCTCAAGGCCAACACATTGACCACAGCTGGCTGTGAACCACGATCCTCAGATCTCAGCCTCCTGAGTAGCTAGGATTACAGGTATGAGCCATCGACACCCAGCTCAGTTTGTTGTTTTTTTTTGGGGGGGGGTGTCTGATTGTGAGGCCTGAACTCTGGGCCTGGGTGCTGTCCCTCAGCTCTTCAGCTCAAGGCTAGTGCTCTACCTCTTGAGCCACAGCGCCACTTCTGTCTTTTTTTCTTTTTTGCTTATGTGGTGCTGAGGAATTGAACCCAGGGCCTCAGGCATGCAAGGCAAGCGCTCTACCACTGAGCCACCTTCCCAGCCCTCAGTTTTTTTGTTTGTTTGTTTGTTTTTGTACTGATACTGGGGCTTGAACATAGGGTCTGGCCACTGTCCCTTAACTTTTTCACTCAAGACTGGCATTCTACCACTAGAGCCGCTGCTCCACTTCCAGATTTTTAGTGATTAGTTGGAGATTAGAGTCTCATGGGCTTTTCTGCCTGGGCTGATCTTCGAGCTGTGATCCTCAGTCCTCAGCCTTGTGAGTAACTAGGTATTTTCCCTTTAAAAATTGACTTAATTCAAGCCAGGAGATAGTGGCTCATGGCTGTAAACCTAGGTACTCAGGAGCCTGAGAGCTGAGGATTGAGTTTCAAAGCCAGCCTGGGTAGGAAAGTCCATGAGGCTCTTATCTCCAATCAACCTCCAAAAAGCCAGAAACAGAGTTGTGGCTCAAGTGGTAAGGTATTAGCTGAGAGCACAAAAGCTCAGGGACCGTGCCCAGGCCCAAGTTCAAGCCCCAGCACCTGTGCGCACATGCACACACACATACACACGCAAAAGTCAATGAAATTCTTCATTGTAAAGAAAAGCACCACTATCCCCCATAAAGGTTTGCCGTGGGCTGAGGCCCCTGTGGTAACAATTATAGTTTTCTCTGAACCTCACTTTTGAGGGGGTGGAGGAGTTCACAGAGAAGAGCTCAATTATTCATCCTCACTAAGTGAACATAGAAAAGGAAGCAGAGGCCCAGATTGGTCAGAGCT